AAAAATCGAGGGTGGTGTTTTTTTTTTATTTGCATCGGAATTTTTCTTTGTTTGATTTTTTTTCCATGTTTGACTAAATATATCCTAACTATTGTATCACACAGATACCTTAGTTATTTTTTAAATATTAGCTATATATTAGTAGAATAATATCTGCATATTATATCATAATGATTAAATTATTTCATGAGATACAGACCTCCAAAGTTTGCCATTTGTCGTTCGAGCAGGCATGTTTGTCAATTTTTAGAAAAATAAATAAATTTTAAATAAATATGATTATATTACAAGCAAGCTATACCCATAGTTTGCGCCTAGAACGTATTAGAGTTCTCCTAATGTTATCGCTTTAGTTATTCACTCTCAAACGGGCCCCCTCCATCAGTGCGCGTTAATGCAACTGTCCACCACCTCATGCCTTACGATTTTTCCTGTCCCCAAGTATTTTTTCTAGTCAAAACTAAGTTTGGATTCGTTCATATTAGACACTAGACAATAACATATAAAAACATCAGTTGATTTGAAAATTTCGACTAGCCATCCTTTGGTCGATCTTATCTGAAATCACCCCACTATCGATCGCGGGGAGTGCAAGATTCGACGGAGCGATCGTGACCTCTTCTTTCCTCGATGAACTTCGCAAGCGCTTTTTCCAGCTCGAGGTATGCGCGAGCCTTCAGATTGCAGAACGATCTTCGGTTGCGGCTCAGAGTTTGCAGGTTCTCCTTTCTTCGTTCTTGCGCGCACGACTCCTCAGCGTCGTAGCAGCCGTAGTTCCAGCTTGCCACTCGGTTTCCTATCTCTTCGCGAACAGATCTGGGGAGTCGGATCTTTTGCCGAAGAGAGCAGAAACGGCGAACGTCACTGTTGACAGCGAATCGATGGCTCAACCAAGCTGTTTGGCCCACAAAAACTATGCAATCGCAAAGGTGGCTACCCAAAAAAAAGGAGAAGGTGGATACAAAAATGTTTGTAGGAGAGACTGTAGAAGAAGGACTCTGGAAAATCTCTCCCTACGACTTTGCACGCATTGCCACAAAGCCGCACTGCCCGCCGAAATTTGCGTATAACCCACGCCCCCTACTTTGCCTTCAACGTTATATAAAGTTTGTAGCGGGTTATACGTGAGAAACTACAGTAATGTGTTGCCACTTTGGAAACACTTCCGACACACAGACGAGATTCGAGGGTGATCGTGCCAGTCAAAGGCACGTCCAGACACCGTACGGCCAGCTTGGATTTGTTTTCGGTTGCGGCACTCTTCTCTCATCGGAAAGCTGCGAAAGCTAGGCCACGTTTTGCCGAAGCGTCCTTGCCGTACGAGCTCGCGTGTGGCAAGATATTTTTCCGAAGCACCCGTCAAAAACTGCATTGAACGAGAAAAGAAAAAGTTGCATGCCAAAACTAGGATTTTCACGAAGCCGAGCAGACGATTGCCGTAATGTGCCGCTAAATGTCGAGTTTTAGATGGGACAGTATTTCTTTTTGGCAGGCCCTCCATCCCCTTGGGAAAATTGTGTTCCGTAACACAAAACAAATATGCACGCACGGCAGAATAGTAGGTGGATCAAGTTGAAAGAACAAAATTCCGAACGTCCCCCTAAGGGAATGAACTTGGGACTTTGAGGTTGTGAACTCGACTCTCGACCCCTGTGCCAAGGGGGAGACGCGCGAAAGGGAAGAAATGAGATTGCTTTCACCAACCGACACCATGGGACGTGCAAGTACAACAAGCGGGTAGCTTTGTTCCTTGCTCCAGCTGCAAGGGGGGCCGGTGTGGCGAGGCGCAATCGAACGCTTGTGTCCGACACTCTGCAGGGACATCACAGCTTCCAACGGACTTTGGGAAGGGGTCCACAAAAGAATGTTTGCTAGAGGTACTCCCGTCTTGTTCATAATATCTCGGAAGAGAAAGGGACATGGTTGAACAGGAGTGGAGGCCCACTGGGGCTAGGTGCATTCCTTGTGCTAATGCAACACCGAAAACGAAAAAACAGCGTTTGCCTAAGGACAAAGAAGCAAGCTGGGCTCGTTTGGCTACAACCGAAGGCCGAGTAAGGGAACGAGCCTCGTCTTAATTTATTGGGCGGAATATGGCCTTCATAGAAAAAAAGCCGATAAGAGCTTCCATTTCTGCAGCAAAGTGCCATAGAAACGATGCCTTGTTTTATAAATCGAGGTGTACCGTCGTTACAAAAAAAAAGCGTGGGTGGCCACAAGCTGTTGCCCAATATACTAAAGGGTCTAGTCGTACGCACATATTCTTATATTCTTCTATTTTAGGCATCAAACGGTGGGTTTTATTCGACGAATGGATCGGCGAGGGCAAATGGGAGAGGAATGGCACGTACACTCTTCAGCATCAGTTGGTCGATCAATGAACTTGATTGATGGTGGCAAGTGTCTGTATTATTAGCCTTCTGTTTGCCAGTGATACCGGGTGTAACTCTTACCAGTAGGGTAGTTGAGAGAAAAGAGACTCTCTTTTCGGGAACAAACTGCCAGTCATGGCAGATGTTAGGGATTGTAAAATACATACTGATTAGCTAAGTAATTACCCTACCCAAAATTCACGGATGGAACTGCTGCGCCGATTGCGCCACTGTGCGCCTAACGACTTTTCATTCGCCACACTGCTACAAAAGTATAAATAACAACAAAATTGCGCCAAGGTTCACCAAAACTGAAATTATAAACGAGCCTTATCGAAGCTAGCCGTCTCACACTTCCTGTTGGCAACATCGACACCTGAACTTCCGGCCTAAATGGGACTCCTGGGGATCCGAATCCGAAGGTTGCTGCCGCCAACTTCCAACGTTAGCTGCCGTTGCTACTCGTTCACCGTGATTTTCTGAAGTCCTGGGGTCACTTCATCTGAAGATCTGAATAGTGGAGCAAACGTGTGACTATTGCAATCGCACAGCCCGCGTTGGTCTGCCTTGCGGCCCCGATCAGAAAACTTGGGGGCAAAGGCGAGCGAGCTACGAGCTGCCAGATCGTGACTGCGCTGATTGCACTTTGAAGACGGTATGTGCGAAGTCAAGAGTTACCTCAAGCGATTTGGCAGTGATGTCACGAAAGTGCTCTTGACAGCAGACTTGCTGCAAGCTGTGAAGAAGTCTCAAAGTTTACGCAGAAAGGCTAGAGGTCGAAAAGCAAGACGGCGAGAGGCAGAAGAGGAAGAACAGTGATGCGAGGACGAGGAGAGCTCGTCTTCAGGAGAAAGAGTGACAACTTGGACAGCGCATCATCTGTTTGTAGACTATGCTTGAGCATGTGCAATCATTAATTGAATCAAGACTGAAAAAAAAAAAAAAGAAAAACGTTTAGCTTTTCCACTCTCATGAACAAGGAAACCCAGTGGAGCTGTACTCGATACACTGTGTGCTTCTTCTTCGTCGCCGTCTATTTTTCGCGCGGTTTCCTACGATGAATTTCCACTAACGCGCCCAACTATCCATTCTATTATAGCTGGAAAGGTTGCCGCCATTTACGAGCGACGGCGGAAACCATACTGGTTGTGTGCTTGCCGCCGTCGCTTATAGATGGCGGTAGCTGTCCAGGTAGGTTTGTGTCGACATACACGGACACGATCCTGGAGAACATAGCCCTTAACAGCTGTGATGAAAAAAAAAAGACGGAGAATATCGAGTGTGGACAACTGTTGTTAGCGGAGGCTAATGCGAAATTGACTCAGAATCGCGAAAAAGTAAAGTGTGTACGTGAGCAATTGAGGAAGACCCAATAGATTTATATGTACAAGGACATTTATTATCTTATTCTAGTCACTGAAAAATGAAAAACCATTTTTTTACCTGCATTTTATTTTTGGTACGCCTTACTTGTCAATGCTGAGCAATGAAAGCTATTTGTACCTGTTAATATTTACCTCTTTGCAAGTCTGTTTTATCACATGTCACACTGTCATGGGCAGTTTTGATTTGTATTGTCACGAATGAAGGTGACGAGAAGACAAACGCTGAACTGAAAATAAAGGTTTAATCAGCAAACCTGGGCCAGACAAAATAAGTAAAGATAGAGCGTTGAGGTAGCAGAAAAGCAGGCGGCGATTAGACGGTGTAACAGAGAGCAAGAGCAAGACTGACTCGACAAGGTCGCGGGTAGCTGCTTATATACAGTGTGTCACTCGAAAGTTTGGCAAAGAAGGTTCGAGCGTCGCGCGCTCGGGGTGAGGATGAACTGGCACTTTTGAGAACAAGAAAGCAGGACGAAAGTTATGTCCGGTGCAAAAATAAACGCGAATCTTTTAGAAGTCCGTGACCGAGCGTTGCTTTCTCGGCCCTGCGGGAGGCAGTATGTTTTGTGTAGTTGGCTCGTAATTTTGTGAAAAATATTTGCAACTAAAACGTTTATTGAAACTACCGTTAAGTTCACATGGAGTTACCTGCATGCCATATTTTCTTTAGTTTTAAAAACCAGGTGACATTTAGCCTCTATTTTAACGTTTTTAAAACCCGTGTGCTGCTCCCAACTTGCTCCAAGACCTTGTTTTTGCTGCTCCCAGCCTGCTCCAAACTGCAGTTGTTTTCCGTTCCCAAGATTGCTCCAAAGCTGCTTTGCCCAGTTCCATCCCTGAAAATTTTGTAGTCATATTTTTAATTTGTGAAGATATATATATACAATTCCAATTAGAAACTTGCCAAGTGTCATCTAGAACCCCCAAATCAGTCAATTTTCTTGAGGCAGGCGTGAATTTCGGGGGTGTGCTAAAGTTTCCACCCATGCAGTAGGCAGGAGACTGGCAACGTGAAAACACAGATGACATTCTTTCTGTCTAGTTAATTATACGTGTCTTTACAATCTCCAACGTCCACCATGACTGGCAGTTCAGAATAATTTTATCTCAAAGTCTTTGCTGAAACACCCAATATATTTATTGGTTGTGGCGACTAACCGATCAGCTCAGTTGGTGCAGCGGAGTATGAAATTCGATTGCGTGGTGTAATTCGGGTCGATTGGACGAAGCATTTGACTCGCAGGGCAAGGAGGACCTGGAGCGGGAGGAGTGCATGAGGCTGTATGAGCAGCTGATGCGAAAACACCGGCAGCGCAAGCAATACAGCGCCACAAAGCAGGCACACATACTGAACCGGGCCATCGCACGCTACGCCCGGATTCCCTCCAAGGCGCCCCGCAAACCGAATCTGGCCGTCTACGAGCACGAGGAGTGGGCTGCAGTGGCCAACGGTAGGCAGAAAAGGACGCTGCACCCCTTTCTTATACTAATCTTTTTCTTCTTAGAAAAACAATACAGATGAAAATACAGTAAACTTTCGTTAATTCGACTTTGACGGGACTTTGAAATTTGGTCGAATTATCCGAAGTATCAAATTAAGAAAAGGACAGAAAAACAGTTAAAATTAAACTTCCTCTCATTGTCCAAAGTACCCACAATGGTCTGCTGCCGTCTGCGCTTAAAACGCGTGTCCAAAAAGCAGGCTTCGGAGAGCAGCGTAACTAAACGTCATGTCCCCGAACAATCGCGCACTACAAACAAACAAAAAAAGTAAGTTTTACGAGCTGACTTTGGCGCCAAGCCAAAGTCGACTCCGCAACAAAAAAAAAGAAAAAAGGAAAAGAGATCTTGCGGTTTCCGACACGCAAGATGGACCGCACACGATGCTACAGAGAAGACGCTTTGAAAGCGCACTTTGAGAAAGCTTCGAGCCGTCTTTGGCGCCAAACAACCAGACTGTCCACGACAAAAAAAAAGAAAAAAAAAAGGGAAAAGAGCACTTATGCTTTTCTGTGCGCAAGGTGGAGCACACAGAATGCTACAGAAAAAACGCTTCGAGAGCTCGTGCTGGCTCATGCGCGTCCAACCACGTGCTATGTTCTTCACGCTATTCCATGCCAGATTTGTTGCGCTGGCTCGTGTCATTCGCTAAGGTCCATCTTAATGGCGTAGAGGAGCAGGCGCATATTTGCACACGTTCGGCTTTGCAGCAAAGGGCTTGTGTTTCGCCATACGTTGGTGGTTTTTTGCTGTGGTGTCGTGCAATGTGAGCCCGCGCGCATTTGCTCGGGACAAACTATCCGATGCGGAGTTTTCTCGAGTTCGAACTATCAAACTCTTCCTCCCATTGGAATGTATGGGCGCTCGCCGGGACTTTAGAACACGATTGAATTGAGCGAAAAGTCGATTTAACCGACGTCGAACTAACGAAAGTTTACTGTACATACACTGAACAGATTCCACAGCCAATCGCTGGTGATGGTATGGTGCCTGGAACGCGTCTCCGACTGGTGTGTTTACCGCGCCCAAAAAAGTGGTCCCTCGATTTCTGCCTGATGACGTCATAGAAGTGTCATGCTATCGTCGGTCGCGAACCTGGCGGTGTCCCAGCAGCGGTGCTGTGTCATGCAGACGCCTGTTCTGCTGTAGGTCGCTCTCCAGTGTGACAGTCCACGGAAGCTACAGCAGCCGAAAGTTGGGACGCCGTGATGACAGCAACACTCGCGTTCGCTCGCGCTTTTCGCCAGCATTTCTACGGCCAACCGCCAGGATCGCGACAGGAAAACAGCATGACATTCCGGCTTCTGTGGTGTCATTTGTTGCCACTTCGGGACCACTTTTGATGTATGGGCAGCATAGGACGCTAAACACACCAGTCGGAGGCACGTTCCAGGCACCATAGTGACTGATCCTTGCAAATGCAAAATTTAAGCGACAAATCGAAGCATGCACGAGTGAGCATGTTGTAAGAACACGTCTAAGGACCACACTTTTTGTTTTTTCATATTTTGGTGCAATATTTTTAGGTACGGCAAACTGACAGATAGAAACTAAATGGTTTTGGATGTGCGTCAAAAAATGGATGTAACCTACTCGCAATCACCCGTAGTGGTCTCAGGCGTCTCTACTTCGGTGTTGATTGCTGTAACCTGTGGTATCCTCGGCGCTCGAGTCTGATTGGCATCTACAGTCGCCAGAGTTTTTCTTTTGTGCCGTCCAGTAACCGCCTCTGGGGTTCGCGTTAACCATGTATTCCGTGAAATTTGACCTTAACGTCCGTTTTTATGCTGACGTCGAACGGCTGCAGCGTGCCAGGGAGTCTGTCTTGGACTGCGCGTTTTTTCCAGCACCATACACAGATCTCGTCGACACAGTATTCGCGACCCGTTGCACGTCTGCTGCACTTCGAGGCATAAGTGACAGTTCAGAAGTACTTGCCCACTGCTCTAAGGTTGCAGGGCCTGCATAAACCAACTTAGCAGAACGAAGCATTTACAAACAGTGACGTTTGGAAGCCCAAGTGTCCGATTTCACAGCAGCTATTTTCACCCGGGCAAACACCTGGGAAAAAGGCCAACGTGGACGATAGAAAAAGCTTAAAAAGGATAGCTTTCTGAAGTCTTCCTTATCTGAGCTTCAAAACAAGCGAAAGCGGGAGCAGAGGCGTGAACATGGCGGGAAAAAGAAGGTTGAGACTTAGAGCCCACGCCACACTGCAGAAGCGGTCGGCGCGCCTTGGGAAGAAGTTAGGGGGATGGAACTAAAACCCAATCATTTTTTTTACAACGGAGCTGTTAAGGGCTAGGTTCCCCACGATCGTGTCTGTGTTTGCCAACACGAATTTACCTGGACAGCTACCGCCAACTATAAGCGACGGTGGCAAGTATGGTGTCTGCCGTCGCTCGTAGATGGCGGCAACTTTTCCAGCTATAATAGAAAAATGGATAGTTGGGCGCCTTAGTGGGAATTCATTGTAGGAAACAGGCGCGAAAAACAGATGACGACAAAGAAGAAGCACACAGTGTATCGAGTACAGCTCCGCTGGTCTTCCTTCTTCAAAAGAATGAAAAGGCCGAACATTTTTTTTTTTTTATTTTTAACGTGATAATGTTAAGGAGTTTGTGTCGCAGAAAAGCCGGCATTGGCGGCAATGTGACCGGAAAATCCTGATTGGTCGATAGGGTCATGACATCACAGCCACATGACCTTGCGCGGGAATTTCAAACAACGCTCACGTGATGTCACGTGTGGAATGAAAGTGATTAAAACATGACATGTAACAAATATTAGAGGTTGCTGCATGTCTCCAATGATTTCACTTCATAAAGTAATTTGTTTGCCTAAAGAAAAAATTTGAAGAATTTTAGACGGTATTCGAACCCACGACCTTTCGGTTGTGAGTTAGACATGCTACTGACTAGGTCATGCAGAAAAGCTTGCACGAATGGGGAACGAGCGGAAGTTCATATGTTTAGCTATCGCATTATACTCTTAAAGACAAAGCTTAAGCGTCCTCCAAGTTTTTTAATATTTTGGTCTAAATTTGGGGGCTGCAGCCTTTACACGGGCACGGCCCATACTCCAGTGATGTGATTGCTGCGCCAATTGCGCCAAACTGCGCCAAGGGGCTAACCCTGCTACATCCTGCTACATTTTGCCAAAGTATGGCTAATCTGCGCCAAGCCTGCGCCAAAGGTCCAATTTCGGTCGCCCTTCAAAATCGAAGCTAAACTGAGAACCGTAATTGAGCATGCGTGAGCTATAGGTGGCTTAAGCGGCCGCCCTACACAAAGTACCCAGCATCAATCGTCAATCCGGTCTTGCATGGTTTTTGCCGCCGTCTCGCGTTTTGCGCCCTCGTTGCCCTCGTCGTCACGGGAATCTCGTCTCGCGTCTTCTTTTTAAAATTTTTTCAGCTATAGACGCGGGCGTGTGCGGACGCTTCGTCGCTATTCGCGTCTCCAGCTCAACGCTCGCCCTCCCGCGGCGGAAACGGGAAGCGCTCTAGTGAGGGTCCCCCGATTCTCCTGCTCAACGGGCACGGCGGAACTGCTCGCGATCATGGCTCGCGAAATGTCATTTCCGAATGCAAACAACACTCTTCACTGTCCCAACGTAGTGCTGCAGCCGGTATGGGATTGTACCTTACTGGAGAGGTTTTAGTATTGCGTAAAGCAGCAAACGCAAGCGGTGTGCATTTGCGTTAGAGTTGCGTGCCCCACGTTGTGCGTGCGCCTCATTGCCATGCGCCATCCAAGACCGCAATGTTGGGCTCCGCGCACGTGCAGTGTGGAACACGCAAAGCTAACGCAAACACACAGCGCTTGCTTTCGCTGGTATACGCTACTGGTTCACCGGCTTGCGACGCCAATGAAACATGCTGCAGTGAGCAGACATGCAGGCAGGTAGGTGTTCCTTCGAACTGGAAAGGCTGAGATTGGGAAGACGACGGAGCATAAAAATGAAAGTAACAAAATGATATAAAAAGATTGGTAATTAAAAAATAACGTATAAATTATTATTTGATTTTTTTTTACTTTTGGCCATTTGGTCTGGAAGGATATTGGCGGCGACTTTTGAAGTTTTTTCGATTGTCAAAAGTCCCGACTTTGACAGCAAAATCTACTTTACCCACAATTAATGTAATTTCACATGAATTTCTCACATTAGCTAGAATGTTTTCATGGATTTTTTACTATTTTTAATTTGTTACTTGGTAATTAAAAACGCTGTAATTGACACCAGTGATCATAATTAGCACACTTTGGATTGTCATATTTGTTCGCGCGTTTGAAATTAGATCCTAAGCAATAAATAATATTAGAGCTTGAAAAACTATGTATTAAAATATCTCAATTTTAATATTATTATTATTAATACAAATCGCGGTGATGTATGCCCTCAATTAACGCCAAGATCGCGAAAATACGCTGTTTAACCATAATAGCCTTTCCAGGAAGTTATAATTTTTTTTTGTAGCATATGAAAACTTTGACATCGTTATCAAGATAGAATAAACAGTCAAGCACTGGATGTAATATAAAGTCCTATGCGTCACGCGTTGCTATAAAACACACACACGCACGCACGCATGCACGTGCACACACACACACGCGCACACACACCAGCTGTCTGACTCGGATGCAGTCTTTGGGTTGTTGCAGTGAGAACAGCGTTTATTAATTTAGATGTTTTGTGCACATATTGTACAAATTGGAATTATTCTTTTATTCTTGTACTGGGAATAATGTTAATCCAATTAATCATCTAAATACCCCGAAACCCATTAAAAGGCCCGCAGTGCTTTATTTCCCATGACAATTATCTGAGCGAGAAAAGGCAGCGAGAACACACAAATATCAGCCTGGATTGAATATGTATGTCACAAAAAAGAGCTTCCGCGAACAACTTCTCTAACTAAATAATTACGACGAGAGACACATCTTGAGTT